GTTTTCAAGTGAATCTGAGAGGCAAGATTCATATGCATGATAGAGTTAGAAGTAATATAAAACAAAGATTCAAAGAATGGCAAATCTCACCTGTAAAGGGCCAGAGAGTAAATATCAGTCATTGCTGGCCATATACATATTCTCTGGCATATCGACTCGACTCTGCTTTAGCACAGATACAGCTCCTGGTATTATGTAAATGAAGGGGCATGACTGTGTTTCAATAAAGCTTTATAGACACAAAGGGGGGCACTAAAATTTGAATTTTACATACTTTAAATAAGCCATAAGTATTATGCTTCTTTTGACTTTTTTAAAAAACCATTTAAAAATGCACACATCGTTCTTAGCTTGTGGGCCACGCTTTGTTCAGCTTTTATAGTTTCCCAACATTTTTTTGTTAAGGCTGCTGTTTTGGTTTTTGGGGACAGTCTATGCATTCCAGGTCAGTCTTGAACTCACTATGGAGCCCAGGCTGGCCTTGAACTCCAGGCAATCCCCGTGCCTCAGCTTCCCAAGTGCTGGGATTACAGGTGAACACCACCATGCCCAGCTTATAGTTCTCTCACTCTCAATGTAGGATATAATTTAGTGTTTAGCAGGGTGGTTCAGATCCAGTGATAAAGAAATAAGAAATGAAAGGAGAAACAAATATCATTAAAATCCTTTCATAAAAAGTCAAATCTTAAACTGAGTCTAGAAGATAGTAGAAGTTGTATAATGAAAGAAAGAAAAGCTATTTCTGGTTAGCAATAGCACAATCCAAGAGCTAAATGGAGTGTGATAGTTTGCTAGTGCTGAGATTACCCTAAGAACAGCAGATAGTCTTTAATATTCAACTGCTGGGGACACATGAGGCCATAAATTTGAGCAGATAAAATGTAAGCACTGTTTCTCCTCTTCATTCTTCAAGCCTCACAGGATTCTTTTTTGTTGTTGTTGTTTTTGTCTTTTTGAGACAGGGTCTTGCTATGCAGTTCATGCTAGCCTTGAGCTCACTTTGTAGCCCAGGCTGGTCTTGAATTCGCAACGATCCTCCTGCCTCAGCCTTCCAAGTGCTGGGATTACAGGCATGCACTACCATGCCCGGCCTCTCACAGGAGTCTTTCTAGAAAAACACTGAACTCTTCTGGCCTCCAAAACTCTTAAATTCTCTTTTAGAATTTTCTTCTCTGTGCTTCTTTGATATTTATTCTGGATGAGTTTCTCAGACTTGTTTTCTACCAATTGTTGGTCTAATCTACCGTGTAGTGCTTCCACTGAGGTTTTAACACCAATAACTATATGGGATTTCTAAAATTCAGTTTTTCCCAAATCCTTTTCTAGTTTCATAGTGACCTACTCTTGACCTATGTTTTGATAATTTCATTTTTCTTTTTAAACAAATTAAGCATAATTCAGTGTGTTTAAAATTGTTTTATTATCTCTGGTTTTTAAAGCACCGATCTTCTGGGTTTGCTGTTTATGATGATTTGTTTCCTTGGTTTATGAGTTTCTTGTAATGAACAAGAGTCTTTAACCCATGAGACCCTTATGCTCAAGATGATGAAAACATTCCTACAAAGTGATTTCGCATTTGCCCCTGCTAAGCCTCCAGGAGTTTTACCCACTCCGTAGCAGTTTCTACATTCACTTCTTAGCCTGCCGCCATATGCGCAGTATACATTTGGGTCTTAACAACCACAAAGAGCGGAGTGTTGATATTTATGAGTCACTCTTTTCTCCTCCATGGCCTCCTAGAATGTGGCACGCCTCCCTGCCACCTCCCTGGGCAGGCCTTTGTAGTTTTCCTGTTCTTTTTTTTTTGGTTTTTCTCCGGTAGCGGGAACCGAACTCACGACCTTGCGCTTGCCAGGCAGGCGCTTTGCCGCTGAGCTAAATCCCCAGCCCCTTCCCGTTCTTTTTTTATAAAGGATGTGCAGGCTCCATTTTCACATCTTACCGTGCTCAGGACTGAGCTGCATTTGCTGTCCCAGCAATGGAATCACAACTTCTGCCCCTGCCCAAAGGCACAGGGGTCTCCTCTGCCCGGATATCTTTGAGCTTGGTTGTATATTTTACACATTTTTAAAAGCTACATTTTATCTCTTGTTTCTGTACTTTGAGGGCAAAGGGAATGTTTGCAGTCACTCCCATCTAATGAGTTATCTAAAAAACCAGTATTTTAACTTTTACAATAAGGAGATAAATGTATATGAAGACCTAGAAGATGATGATTTTAAAAGTGGTGGTGGTGGTGGGGAAATGTAAAGATTCTAAAAAGGTAGGTGATCAGATTGCTCCAGGAACATTGAAGACTGACAGTTTTCTCTATACAGATGTTTTATTTGTATTTTTTACTTTTTATTTTGAAATAACTGTACATTTACAGAAGATCTGTAAAGACAGTACAGAATTTCCATATACCCTCTACTCAGTTTCTTTCAATATTATCTTATACGACCACGGTATCATGCTCAAAAGTAAGAAATTAACTTTGGTACAATATTATTAACTACATTATAGATCTTGTCAGATTTTACCACCTTTTCACTAATATCCTTTTCCTATTTCTGCATGCAATCCAGCATTCTACACTATGCTTAACTGTGTTCCTTAGTCTCTTTTTTGTTTGTTTGTTTTTGTTTTGTTTTTCTTCCGGTACCAGGAATTGAACTCATGACCTTGAGCTTGCCAGGCAGGCACTTTTGCCGCTGAGCTAAATCCCCAGCCCTCCTTAGTCTCTTTTAACCTCAGACAGTCCCAGTGTTTCTTACTGTCTTTCCTGACATTCTTTTAATTTTTATTTTTTGGAGTGCTGGGGCCCTCCCACTGAGATGCATTCCTAGACCTTCATAACATTGGGTTTTTTTTTGTTTTTTTTTTCTTTTGAAGCAGAGTCTCACTATGTAGTGCAGGCTGGCCTTGAATTTACAGCAGTCCTCCTGCCTCAGCCTCCAAGTGCTGGGATTACAGGTATGCGCCACTATGCCGGGGTACAACATTCTTGATGAATATCTGTCAGGTATTTAATAAAATACTCCACAGTTTGCACTTGTTTGGTATTTTCTCATGATCAGAGCATGGTTATGACTAACAGGAAAGATTCCACAGAGGTGAGGCGGGTGCCCTTTGATGCACTGTATCAGGGGTTCATTTTGGTAGGTCTTATTAAGGGTGATGTTAACCTTGATGCTTTGGTTAAAGTGATGTCCACTGAGTTTTTTAATTATTGTAAAAATTACTTTGTTTCTCTTTTGTAAAAAAAAAAAGAAAAAGATTTAGGAGGAAATACATTGAGGCTATCTCATGTCCATTTGCTCCATAAACTAATTTAAGCATGCACAGGTTGACGTTTCCTCCCAGAATTCCTGCCAATGTATGGTTTCACGATTTTCTGTATCTGCCTTTGCTTTAACACTTAAGAATTGGAATTTTTCTGTAAGGAGTCAACCTTTTATCATCATTTTTTCAATAATTTATTTGTACCAGTATAGACTTATTTCATTTTGTTTCATAGTCCAATGTCTTATTTTGTTGCTGAACTTGCTTTAGCTCTGGCAGTCGAGAGCTCTCTTAGGTTGGCTCCTGTGTGCCCCTCTTTATTGAGGTGGGTCTATTTCCTTAAATATATCACCAGATACTCCCGGTTCATCCTGTATTATCCCTGGAACAGGACTCAATCACTTCTCCAGTGAGCTCTGTGGATTTTTAAAACATAGTGATGCACAGTTTAAAACCCTTCACTCTTATCCACAGGGTGAGAATGGAATCAGAATAAACTGCAAGGACCTAAGGCAAGTCCAACCTTCAGAAAAGGGGCTTAGAGCCAATGAAGGAAGAAGAGAAGGCGCCATTAAAGACAGAAGAGGCAATGCACAGCGTGCTTTTGTGACCTCAAGGGAGGACAGTGCTCAGCTGTAACTTCAGGGTGCCCTTGTAGGCTTTTCTGTGATCCCTGTCACCTTTGTCTCACTTCCTTGCTCATCGAGAAAACTCGAACCTTCTAGCCAGATATCCTCACTGTCCCGGGCTAACCAAATCCCTCACTGCCTGAACTTCTGAAAACACAGCCGCAGCTCACACAGCCTATGGACTTTACCTTCCCAATTCAGTGAAATATTTCTTTCCTCTTCTCCTCCACTCACACCTCATTGATCTTTCCAAAGATAGGGCAAGTGGCTTTTTCTTCAGTCTTTTCCCAAACTGCCAGCCTACATTTATCCTTTCCTTCTGTAAGTACCATGCTTCTTATTTCTTTAGTTTAGTACTTGGATTATACTTGTGTTTTACATTTTTCTATTTGTTTCATATTATTTATTTCTCAGCAGTACTGTAGCTCCTTCAGATTACAGACCGTACTGCGTACTCTCTGATATGTTCAGTAGTTAAAAATATGTAACTATTAATAGAAATTTAATATATATATTTCAGTTTAGCATTCATATCAACAAATCAACCACTACAGTCATCAAAGAAATAGCTGCATACTGGGAAGATTCCAGGAGCTATCTTATCTATGCGAGAATGTTAAAACCTACTCCTTAAGATACAAAGCTGGAATAACTATGCAAATGGTTTATGACTTTGGTGGTATTCCAAGAAAATGCAACCCTGAGCCAGAGCAATTATTTCTCACTAGGAAATAATTCATCAGGATATTCACAGATTATCTATTAATTAAGTCACTATAATATTCATAGAACAATTTTTTGCTTTGTTTTAGAACAATCACCTGGCCTATTTCTGTTTCTATATTCAACTATTAGTTTTTAAATTATTAATATAAGGGTGGGCATGGTGGCACATGCCTGTAATCCTAGCACTCAGGAGGCTGAGGCAGGAGGATCTTTGCAAATTCAAGACCAGCCTGGGCTACAAAGTGAGCTCAAGGCCAGCCTGATCTTCATAGCGAGACCCTGTCTCAAAAAGACAATAAATAAATAAAAAGTATATAAAGCTATTAAATTTCAAAGGACAATGGGAGCATATTAATAGAATTCATTTTTGCAAAACATCAGTTTTCCTTATTAAAAACATAATACTTATTTATTGAAAAGTCAAGAAGTTGCAGGTAAGCAAAAAGAAAATAATTCCAACACTTAAAACCAGATACTGTTAACATTTATTTTATTACATGCTATATGCATATATAAAATGTGTGTGTGTGTATGTGTATGTGTGTATGAGATGATTTTATACACACAAATTATTTTGTAACTTATTGTTTGGCTGTGGTTTAGTATCTTCTTACATTATTAGCATTATTAAATATCTGTCTGTTATTGCTTGTGGTAGTGAAAGGAATTACAGATTATATGTATCATAACTTATTAAACTAGTCTTTATGTTTGAATATTAACTAGGCTGTGTCCAAATTTCATCCAATATATGTTGTACTAAGATGAATATTCTTATGCTTAATTGTGAACACACTCATAATTGTTTCCTTAGCACAAATTCTTAAACCTGAGTGTCTATGTATGAAAAGTTTTATGCAGATATTTTTTAATGACCATTGTCCACCTTTCCATAAAGGTTGTGTTAATCTACTCCCCTAAGCACTGGCCATTAAAGCAATTTTCAAACAATATATCATTTTATATTTTTAAAGGAATCACAGAGCCCAGTAAAGTCTCTAAAAATATGATAAAATAAAGTTACATTCACTTTTTTCTATTATGGAAATGTCCTTTTCCCCTAGAACTTTTATTAAATTTTAAGTAATTTGGTTGGTGATATAAAAATGCAAAACAACACACATTATCTAGCGTGGGTTGCAAAGAAAGCAAAAGGTCATCAAAAGTAATGTAGTCTAAGGGACTAGGGCTCAAGCTCTGAACAATAATGTGATTTATTAATCAGGTTCCTATTTATAAACTTCTTCCTTTTTATTTATAAATTTCTTCTTAAGAACAGTTATTTTTAAGTAAGTTTTCCTGTTTTCTTTGTATTATTAGTGTATCTGATTCAAACCTAGTATTTTACACTTTATTTGAGATTTGCCAATTTTTCTTTAAAAAAATGAATCAAGACTAGGCAACACTGTCACATGCATAAACTTATGATTGACAGACTGTTGGTACATTTAAAATATTAATAATGACTTTTCCTAGTAAAAATGTGATCATTGATTATTTATTATGCTTGTATTTATCAACAAACTCAGCTTAACACAAAGAATTCAAGAGCATAATTTACATTCTAAATGACAGAATAACAAACAAAATAGGCCAGACCTATTACTTTAAACAGACCAAGTCCAAGAAAAAGAAAAATACAAATATGTAGGCATATTCGCAGCGCTTCAATTTCAAACTTGGTTTCATGAATGACTTGTTACTATTTGAGACATAAATCCTTACTGCTATGTTGGGTATACATATTGGGCTTACTTCACGTAGAACATTAACATGATCATTTAAAACTTTGTAACTATTAATTATTTATTTCAAGAGAAATATGAATTTGAGCACTTAAAAGAAACAAATCTGAAGAAGGATGTAAGTTCTGATAATTTTCAAACAAGTTTTCAAACAATACGTATCAGGCTGCCGTTTGAAAAAAGTAGCCCCCCTTCACCATCAAAGATATAAACGGTAGAGGATAAAAAGCAACCTGGTTTTTCTCTCCATGCCTAACATCCCTCATGGGTGACTGAATCTACAAGTCTGTTCTAAAGTGAACATCGCTTTAAAGTAACACTGTATTCTTAAAAGGAGAGGAAGATGGCATCTAAGAAAAAAGAAACATTTCAGTGATTCCTGCAGAGACCCCCCGAGAAGGCCAAAGATCTCCAAAGCAGTCTGTGTGCCAGGGGCCACGGCACAAGGAAAAGCTATTACTAAACATAACTGTGCCCATCACGATGCAGGGGTCTGCACACACACTTTTATTTTGTTATCTGCAATACTATTAATATTTTCTGCAAGTTGGACAATATATATTTGGTAAAACCAGCAGTGTCGCTTCTTCACCACAGAAATACACGGTACAACCACTGATAAGCAATTATCAACATAGGTCCACTTTGGCAAGACCATCACGGTATGAATAAATCACAGTTCAGATTTTCAGAGTTATCTATAGGGCTTGCCAGTGAGCAAGACTAGGGCTTCCACAAAAAGACCGCACACTTTAAGTGCTTAGACAATGTCCCTAAAAAGGCCTGCAGTGCTTTGGAAGCTTCCAGTAATATAGACTAAACATACCTATACCCCTCTATGACACTTTATTCTCTGCCTGTTATATTCTAGATTCTAAAATGTTTTTCTGGCTTCAATCTTCGCAAGTTCTTTTTTTGTTCTTCTGTAGATTAAGAGTCTGCAATTAAAAAATAATATGTTATTTTCCAGAGACCATAATCATCAGAAAATTTTGGAGGAAGGGACAGATTCATATAAATTAGCACGCTGCAACTCAGTAATGCTGAAAGCACGAGTTCCTTCTTCATAGGAACTGTTGAATTTTCCTCTCTGGGGAAGGAAGGACATGACTAGATACAGTGATTCTTGTTAGGAACTTAGACTTCAAAAGCAGCTGCACTTAAACACAGTGAGCACCTGGGTAGCCAGTCTTCGACTCCATTCCATCTCCACATGAGTAAAAACGTCAGGCTTCGATCAATGGGTTTCTTCTTTGTCAACTTGTTCATTTTGTTTCTAGTCTCATAGAAGTACATACCGTTTATTTCCTGTTTTTTTAAACCTCTGATCAGGAAGTGCTTTTCTTTTGCTGACTGTACAGAGAGGAGAGGGGATGTCTAAGAAAGAGTCCTAAATTCTTCCCATTCACAGAACTGCATCCTGACATCGCCTTGTGAGAGAATCAGAACATTGGGATCCATCGCAAACCTTTGGAGTCTGTATCTTTCCTGAAACACGATCCTCCCGATGCAAACACAAATCAAAGTTCAAGCAGCATCATCCCACAGCAACTTTAGTCTTCCGGGTTCAAGTATTTTCTTCCTGCCTATCCTCCTCTGTGGAAGGACATGTAGCTATGTGATCACTGACCCATTTTCAGAAACATGAAATACAGGTGAGGCTTTCAGTTTACTTTAGTTCTACTTTCCGGGTATACGGCCGCCTGCATTTTCTGGAGACATTCACTGTCACAGAGGGGATTAGGACTGTTACAGCAAGACTGCAGAAAAAAGGAAAGAAAGAGTTAAGGTTCAGCTGAAATAGAATGTTTTAGTCTTCAGAAAGATTTTTTAAAAACTTGAAAACCAAGATTTATTATAAGACAGGGCCTTTATTTTTTTATAGGGCCCCACTAAGTTGCCCAGGCTACCCTGGAATTTGCAGGCCCTCTGCCTCAGCCTTCTCAGTAGATAGTATTACATGTGTGGGTCATCACGCCCAGTGAGGAAAAAAAATGTCTCTAATGTTTCTGTCTTTCCCACTATGCAGAGCATAAATTTTTTCATAGGACAGATATTCTGGTTTTAGTTTTCCCTCTCTGATCCACACATACCAATTCCCTGCTCCCTGCTGCTTTACGACATTTAGGTAGGTATAGGGCAGTCGTGGCGAACCTATGGCACGTGTGCCACAACGTGTTATTTGTATCATTGAAAGCTCTAAAAGGTTCGCCATCGCTGGTTTAGGGTGGCAGGAGGCCCCTGGGCTAGAGGCTCATTTCCCCAGCTGAAGGCCCTAGGTAGGAGTGTGACAGCAAATGTTTAACCACTACCTCTGGGGTGGAGGCGGCTAAGGAGGGTGGAGCCCTGACTTGTAATGCTTGCCCCATCCTATGATGTAAATACTCCCACCCTGGCTGGTTTCAAGCTACCAAAGTGATGTCACTGAAAGTGGAGCAGGGAAGAGCCACATGGTGGTACACCACTGTGTAGTATTTCCAAACACACAGTAGTAAAATGTAGAACAATAAATGGGAAGTGATGATTTCTAAATGTTAATTAGCTCTGTTTAAATCATAATTTGTTTACATTTAAGTCTGTATCATTTAATTTTTAATAATGGCTATGCTTAACAACTGGCAGGCAAAATTCCTTCAGAATAAGCAGTTAAGGTACAATTCTGTGTTCGGCACTCCACAGCTTCTAGAATACTCTGCTCCTTTGGCCCAGAACCATATCCCAGGGGAGGTATCACAGAAGACCTAGGAAGCGTTCCTGTCTCATCATGGCCTGGGTGTAGGAAGTAGGGGCACAGGGCTTTCTCACTTCCTCATAAAGAATGAGGGTGATGGCCAGAGCTCCAAGGCAACTGAGGCCCTGGGACCTCTCTGATACCAGTGGAAATGTTCAGGATGATGGCAGTGATGGTACCGGCCAGTGCAGACCATCCCAAAAAATCAGGTGGAACTTGATTACATTTCAGTGGTCCCAATTCCAAGGAGAAGATGAAGTCAGAGGACTGTGTATGATTCACAGATGCCACCAGGATCCAAGACCCCCATCGCATAACCAGAGGCTTGATGGGCAATGAGAAGCAACAGGGAGGTAGGGAATCTGAGACAGGCTTTGCATTTTCCTGGGTTATCCATAACATGTTACGCAGCGTGGTCCAGGGATCAGTGCCAGTTACCAAACTGCTACTGGTCTGGGGCTGGGGATTTAGCTCAGCGGAAAAGCACCTGCCTGGCAAGTGCAAGGTTGTGAGTTCGATTCCCAGTAATGGAGAAAAACAAAACAAAACAAAACAAAACTGGTCTGATGTGAGACAAATATAGATGGGAGTTCATGTTTAGAAATTTTATCTTTGACATTGCCACGACATCCTAGTATTTGACCACTGGACTTTTCTTGTTGAACAGGATATAGACCAGTTTAGGTGTGTTGAACTGGCAAAGTGAGTTGCTTGTGGCAGAAGCTAAATACGGGTCATGTGATAAAGGACTATGTGTTTGGTGGATAAATGACTGGAAAGACCAATCAGTTGGGGACCATTAATCTAAAAATCTTTTAAAACCATCACCTTGGGCCAGGGATACAGCTCAGTGTCATAAGTGCCTGCCTAGAAAGCTCAAGGTCCTGAGTGTGAGTTCCAGTACCAAAAAAAAATAAAAGAAAATAGGCTCAGCTACATAGAACCATCATCTTTGGATGGGAACTAAACTCTGATTAGTATGGATTGGAAGGTCTCAAAGTGTAGTCTGTGGACCAACAAAGGCAATATTACCTGAGAACTTACAAGAAATGTAAATTCTAGGGCCCCACCCTATATGTACTAAATTTGGAACTGTAAAAAGGGGGGTAAGACCAACAAATTGTGTTTTAACAAGCCTTTAAGTGCCTCTGATGACTGTTCAAATTTAAGAACCACTAGATTAAATTTACCAAATTCTTAAAGTAAAAGAATTATGTTCAACATAGAGGAGAATAAAATAGCATTACGTGTAAATTATCCATGCTAGAAGGTAAAACCGGAGCCCCAGGAGAAGGTAAGGCTAGGTAAAGAAAAAGAAAGAAAACTAAACTTTGCACACTGGAACCATACACAAGTAAGCAAGGCAGGATGGTAAAGTTGAACACTTCCAAGAGGGAATCATTTTATACTTTTCTCTACAAACTTATCCTTTGTGCTTGTGGCTCCACACTTCCAAGCATAAACCATTTCCCGGCCCATATCAGACTAGAACTGGTAAAAATAGGGTCATGGTATTAGCAACAGAAGAATAGTTCTGTAACTTTACGCTCACCACACAATTGCCGGGCTTCCGGCTTTCCTCACATTCTGTGTGATCACGCCTATAACAGTTCAGGAGGTGCGCTCCTGGCTAACTTGTGTCATCCTTCTGTCTTTTCCTCTGCCTTCACTCTTCCCCATTCCGGGTGTTCCTGCTCCTTCCAGTTAAGACCGGTTTTAGCTAAGAGTTTGTTTGACCCTAGATACTGGCCATATTACAACTAAGAAGAGATTCTCTTTTCTCTTCACCTGTGCTACAGTACCTTGCCAGGGGACGCTAACCAGGGCTTACAGTATCTTCTAAGGCAGTCATTCGCCAACTGTAAAGTACACAGCACAAATCACTCAGGGATTACTCATAAGTTCTCAAGTAATGCTGCTTTTATTGGTCCACAGACCACACTTTAGTGTGCAGATTCTGACTGAGTAGGGCCTATGCATCTGCATTTCTAACAAGGTCCTCTCTGCAGACTGAGTGGGTTCCCTAGTAACAGGGAGCAATGACTCCTCTGCTTTGCTTATGTGATCATGCGGAAATTATCCAGAATAAAAAATTTTTTTTTCAAATCTGTAGCTTGACAATACAGTGTGTTTTCTAATATTTTCAACTGTCCTTTCTACGTTGAAGTTAGAAAATCTTTTAGGCACAACTTCCTGTTTCAACATCCTAGAAATATCACCTTCGATTATATCCACCCATAGCTGAAAACATTAGCATGGAATTTACAGCAGAAAAACTTCCAAATCCCCCCCATGAGAACACAGTGGTGGTTCTCAGGCGTTTACTATACATCAGAATGACCCAGAGAGATTGTTAAAAACAGATGGCTAGCCGGGCCTGGAGGTGCATACCTGCAATCCCAGCACTCTGCGAGCCTGAAGCAAAGATATGGCAAGTTCAAACTCAGCCTGGGCAACTTAGTGCCTTTTGTGAGACTTCAGCTCAAAATGAAAAATAAAAATGCTGGGCATGTATCTCAGTGTCAAGACTCTAGGTTTGATCCCTAGTCTTGAGGAAAAAAAAAAAAGCACAGGCTGCTGGCCTTACCCTGAGATTCCGATTTAGTAGTTCTTGAGTAGAAGAGATACAGGAGAAGAATTTTGCATTTCTCACCAGTTTCTGGGTGACACTGATTTTGCTGATCCATGGACCACATTAACCAAGTGGACCTTCCAATCAGCCCCATTGGTGGTCCTGACTCCCAGCTCTAGTTCATGCTCCAAGAACTCCGATTCCTGTCCCTATGGCATGTCCCTACCACCTGCCTTTGTTTCATTTACTTATTCCCTCCCTGTGGATGCATTCAGTCAGTGGTTCATTATTTCACCAATATTTTTTAAAGACCAAAGGCCATCACGAGACTTACGGTACAAGGAAAGAAAGAAAATACCTTTTTCAGCTAGAGTGCTTCATGATTTCCGAAGCGCTTCCACATTCAAGGCCTCCTATGATCTTCTCCAGAGTCCTGGAAGGCTGACAAGGTAAGGGTAATTTTATACCTCTCACAAGTGCAGAGATGTACGGCCAGGAGAAGCAGCTCTTAAAGAGTATGGGCAAGGAGAAGCCAATTCATCATTCGAAGCCCAGCCAATGTTTTCCCACCGAATCACCCAACTTCGGTCTTGGATCACCGTATTTTCCCTTTGCTGCTCCAATTATGCCTTTTCTCTAAAGCCCAATTATTGCTCCCTTCATGAAACGTCCCTGGTAATGCTGGTTAAAGAATTTTTCCTGCTTACGGTATTTTATTTTGTTTTTCTAGGCTTTTTTATAACAACCCTTTCTATAGTCCAGCTTCCTAGAGAACAGAGCCAATACCCAACTCCCCTTTTTATTTCCCACTGCACCATTCTGAGTTTATCATAGAGAACCAATCAAGGGCTGAGAAGAGAATGAAGGAATGAAAGATGAAATGATGAAATTTTCACCTTTTTTTCCCCAAGTCATGAGTTTTATTCATAGATTATTTAATGAAAGACATATTTAAAGATAAAAGCAGAGTTTGTATGACTTCTTTTGTCTCCTAAATAAATGGAGATGGGGAACAGTAGCATTATTAAGTGCTTACTGTGTGCCAAATGTTTTATATTACTGCATCTTCCCCTTATAACCTACTAGATAAATAATAGATAAACACTATAGTTTACATTGCCAAGTGTAGGTTCTAAAGCTCAGAACTATTTAGCAACTTAGCATACTTCAGACACTGAAGGCATGAAACGGACAGCCTCATCTCCATTTAACCTCATACGGCAACAGGAAATCATATCTAATTATATTCTGACAATAGGAACTTGTCCAGGCCCTGCCAACGTAAGAAACTGATTCACGTTCATATGTGAGTATCATCGTAAAAATCTTGAGATCACTTTTTGGTAACATTGTTACTGCTGCTTATCCTCAATTCCCCACTGGATGTCAAATCCTTTACTCCATTCTTTCAAGAAGGGGAAGGAATTTCATTACTCCCATGTTCTTTTTCTGGTTCCTGATGTAACCAGTTATCATGGGTTGTAAAATGTTGGCCTGAGACTTAGATGGTAAATATGCCCTACCAAGTGGAATTGTGTCACAAGAAGATGTGCCTGTTAGAAAACAGTGTGAAACGCTGGGGGAAATGTTGGAAGGTTATAGACACATCCCGAAATTCCCATGAATAATCTTCAGAGGAATAAAAAATGAAGGAAAAGAATGGAACACTGAAGTCATTAAAGCAACATACTAAACATTTACCGTACGATAGAACTGCGAACTGTCAGGGAGTTTAACCAAAAAATCTTTGCCAGTGTCGGACAGACTTGAGAGTAGTAGTTCAGTAGCAGACAGCATGGTGAAATGGTGGACTTACCTAGGAGAATTCACAGGGGACTTCTGCAACTAAACAGGGCAGAGACCTGCAACATCCTGAAAAACAAACACATGCACAAAAGTGACTGTTCTCACGCAACTATGAAATAACAATGTGTATCCATTCCTCTAACCCAGGCTGCAATACTCCATCTGGTTGATATCTACTAGTTTAGTGGGCAGGGGTTATTACAAGGTCTTATCATTTCATTAGGCATTAAGATAGCTCATCATAAATATTGGCATCTTAACATTTAAAAATACCTCTAATTTTTACAATTTTAATAAAATTATTTCAAGTGAAGAGGAAATTATACCAAAAGCTTCCAAAGGTTTTAGATCTGTCAGGTGGGGATTAAAAAAAGGTTGTTTTTTTTTGTTTGTTTTTGTTTTTTTGAGGCAGGGTCTCAGTATACAGTTCAGGCTGGCCTTGAGCTCACTTTGTAGCCCAGGCTGGCCTTGAACTCACAACCATCCTCCTGCCTCAGCCTCCCAAGTGCTGGGGTTACAAGAGTGCACCACCACACCCGGCAAAATAAAAAGTTTTAAAGCACCTTTTTCAGGCCCCCTAGGAGGATCAATTGAGAAAAAGTACATTCACAGAAAATGTCCTGGTTCATAAATAGCTTTCTATTGTTATTTAGCCTGTCAGATCAGGGAGCTGATGAAAGTCAGGTATCTCCAGATAAGTGGCGAAGTAGGTATTTTTCCTAATTCACCACTGATGATGCTAAGGCAGTCCAGGCCTCAATGGGCAGTTTCAGTCACTCATGTATGTGTGCTCCGATGTGAGACATGAGCAGGGAACATGGGCCTCTTTTTGTTTTTTTCTTTTTTTTTTTTTTGAGACAGGGTCTCCCTGTGTAGCACAGGCTGGCCTTGAACTCACTATATAGCCCATGCTGGCCTTGAAGTCACAGCAATCCTCCTGCCTCAGCCTCCTGAGTGCTGGGATTATTGGAAAATACCACCACATCTGGCTTAGCTTGGGCTTCCTGAACATAAAAAAATACATCACATATTTGATTTCTATAAATATTTCTTAGAATAGTTCAAAAGCAACACTTCAACTAATGGTAGACTGGTTCCTAGAAACCTCTGTACTGGGGAATTCATAGTAAAGATGAATTAAAATACATATATAGAACCAAACTTTTGCTGATGCATGTGTCTACCTGAGCACCAGCTGTGTGTGTGTGTGTGTGTGTGTGTGTGTGTGTGTATGTGTGTGTCGTTTTCCCTGGTTACCAAGGAGCACCAAAACAATGAGGTATGCTTGTAAAATATCAATAACAACAACAAAATAATTTATGCTTGCATATTTCCTAAGTGCCAGACAATTTCTAAGTAACATTTTAGTGCAGATTTACTTCTCACAGTCACCTTTATTGGGTAGTTACCATCATAACCCTCATTTGACAGTATTTACTTAGAAACAAAAGTTCAAGTACTTGCCCAAGGTCACATACCTAATAGCTGATAGCACAGGCAGTCAGGCTCCTGCCTGCTCTTGCTCAGTGTACTCTGCTCCTTTTCAATGTATAATAATATATGTTTCCAATGTAAGAAATGTATATTGCTCAAATTTTGAGAAAATGACTAAAGAAAACTTTGAGTGCTACTAACCTTAACCTCATACAATTGCTGATTGTTGAGATACTTTCACATTTTATACATATTTTTCAACTTGTAGCTCTGATTTTGACTTTTTTTCTCTTTACATCATATTTCTCATGCTGTTAAAGGGTGTAGCTTGTTCATTTTTAACACCTGCGAAATATTACATAGACTGGGTATACTGCGCTTACTTAGCAAGTGTAGAGTTGCTAGCTATTTAGGAGCTTCCAGATGCCTGGAGCAGGTCAAAGTGTACAGGGAGCCAGACAGCCCAGTTCAATCCTTACCCTTTTACTTGCAAGCTTTATAATCTCGAGCAAGCTACTTGACCTCTCAGTGTTTTAGTTTTTTTCATCTGTAAAATGAGTGCAGTAATAGTAATTACCACCTAGGGTTGTGAGGATTAACTGCATTAATTGAAATGAAGCACTTAAAACACTGTCTGCAGGTAGTCATTACTATCAGAAATAGTATGCTAGTGACCATCTTCATCACCTCCTGATGATATATTCCCAGAGATAAGAGCATTACTTCAAAAGACATAGAGCATTTTTTGTTCAAATAACTGATGTATGTATTTCCAAATAGTATTGTATAGATTTGTTACCAACATTTCTATAAGAGTAAGCCATTTTCCAGTGCACTAGATTTTCTATTGCTTTATTGCTTTGTCTTCCGGTTCACTGACATGTTCTTTAACTGCTTCTAATGTGTTCAATTTCCATGTGTTTAACATACTTACCATTCATCAGTAAAACCTTCTTTTTATCCATCATCCTTAATTTATTATTACCAGTATGTTAAAATCTGTTACTCCTCTACCTGGATCTCTTCCAGGTCTGTTTTTGGACATTTTAGCTTATACTTGGGTATGTATCAAATGCCAAACTGTGGTGAGAACTTGAGCCTCTGGAAGATCTTATTTTAATCAAAAACGTTATGTAAGATCTCTTTTGGATTCCTTGCTTTGCAGGTTCTTTACTTCTCAAGCTCTCTCCAGCGCATTTAAACAAAATGCCTTTAAAGGAATATTTGCCAGAGCTCATGCAGCTGTTCCACTTTTTCTTGGAGTGTGAGTTAATTTAAATGTAATAGCTAGGAGTGTAAGTGCTGGACATGAATTTTTAAGGAAATGATTAAACCTAAATGTAAGTTATTTTGTTTTAATGTATACTTATTTATTATTAAGTCTGGATATTTTCCTGCATTTGCAAATATGTTTCACCTTTTGTGAAATGTGATGCTATTCTGATATGTACTGGTTAATTGCAGTTCTATTCATACCACATACACTGGTTGGGTATTGAATTTATATAACTACATATAATGAACCTATTAACCCTTTCTGTTTTTATGTTCAAATAACTGCACCTAGGTAACTGCTTGCTTGCATTATTGCTCTTTAAATACAATCAAATGTGTTTTATTGTTCACTTTGCAATTTATTACAACATTCTAAGCTTATAAAATAGGTCTTTCAAGTTTCTATAGTTTGAGTTTTAGTAATTTATTTTATGTGGACAAATGTAATTTTTTTCAAATTAATCAGAATATTTTTCCTTTTCTTTCTTTCTTTCTTTTTTTTTTCTTCTGAGACAGGACCTTGCTATGTAGTTATTTTGTTCACGCTGGTTTTAACTCACTATGTAGCCCAGGCTGGTCTCGAACTCACCAAGATCTTCCTGCCTCAGCCTTTCAAGCGCTAGGATTACAGGCGTCCACCACCACGCCTGGCAATTGGAACATACATTGCAAAATATTTTCCTTCTGGTAACTTTGTGCTTTTGTCATTATCAAATATTGCATTCTTGCATAAAATTTATTTTGACCACATACTTTGCCTCATTAATCTAGCTTAGTACCAGTATCACATGGTTTTAATTATAACTTTATAATAAATTTTAAGATCTAAAAGAATAGTCCCTCCTTATTACTCTTCCTTCTCAAAATCCAGGTTTGCTATTCTTACCTCTCATTAAGATTTATGACAAAATAATGATCCCTTTACATTACCTCAAAATATATGTATATATAAAAAGAGAATGTTATTGGATTTTCATTAAATATATATTTTGGAAAGGGTTAACTACAAAAATATTATGCTTTAAACTAGAAACCAGTGTTCTGATTAATTTATGATTTTTATAGTCCTCAAAGTTTTGCTTAGATAGTTCTTTTTTTTTTACTAAAAATCAGTTACAAAGCTTTATATACAGTATTTTGTTGCTTAGTAAAATCAATTTTTTAAAAAGCTCATGTTTAAGTTAAAAGTGACTGTTATTTAGGAATACTATTGATTTACATCAATGTTTATGTCTTAGTATTTTACTAACATTAAATTTATTCATATTTTCATTAATTCCTTTGAGATTTCAAACTGAAGGTATTTTTCCAGTACATGACAGGTTGTATCTTTTTTTTCCTCTTTAAAAGTCTTCCTGTTTTGGTTTGTTTTATTACATTCATCAGGGTTTTTTAAATACCTTTAAGTTAATTTATTGTGGCAAAACCATTATAGCAACTTTACAAATTTTAAACATGAACATTTCTAAAAATTTTACGTCAATTCTAAATGTTGATAACCAGTATAAAATATTTATTATCATATTGAAGAAATATTTCTCCTATTTGTACCATTTTATCAGGGACAGGTATTAAATCTTATGTAATGCTTTTAGAAACACTCTATTCAATTATTTCATTTTCTTCAAATATTTCATGTATTACAGGTGGTGCATGGCTGTAATCCCAGCACCTGGGAGGCTGAAGCAGGAGGATAGCAACTTTGAACTCAGCCTGGGCAAGTTAGTGACTTTTCAACACTCTGTTTAAAACTAAAAGGTTTTTTTTAAAAAAAAAAATGGTTGAGTTTGTAGCTTAGGGCAAATGGTCTGGTTTGAATCTCCAGTATAGAAAGGAAAGAAAACAAAAAGGAAAGGAAAGGAGAGGAGAGGAGGGGAGGGGAGGGGAGGGGAAGGGAAGGGAAGGGAAGGGAAGGGAAGGGAAGGGAAGGGAAGGGAGGAAGGAAGCAAGCTCATTAGTATTGTTTCTAATTCTGTAAACTTCTACACTGGCTTGAATATATATTCTTTATTTGTAAGTTCTACTTATATTAAATAAATAGAATATATAAAAATTATTTGTTTAAAGTTATGGACATGTGATTATTTCCTGTTATTATTTATTGTTCCTTCATTGGTCTTACAGTATTAATGATTATAAAATAGTCCTTTTTGTTTACTGTCTTTCAACAGAAATTCTGCTTTACTTGATATTCAAATCACCATATCTGATTTGGATGTGAAAATGTTAGGCTGAAAAAACTTCTTTGCCATTAAAAAATGTTTCTGTGTCATTTTGACTCTTTTAAGCAATACTAAATCATCACACTTTCATTTTAATTTAATCTAAGGACCTTCACATTTGAATAGGAAAATTTA